GATCTGCCTCCCATTCTACTTTTAGAAATTCTAGAAAACAATTTTACCAGTTTACTGTCCGAAAAGCTGTACTAAACGAAATATCGTTTTGTATACCCTATAGCATACAAAATGACAATAAAAGTTGTCCAAGTCTAAGAAAACCACACATGCTCCTCAGGTAAACCTGATGCTACAAGTAAATAATGATGCAGATTGTATTTTTTATAATAAAACAATATAATAAAAAGGAACATATGAAGTTGTGTTTTTCTTTGAGGGTGGTGAGGAGGAGGCTCTTTCAGAGTGAGGGAGGGAGGAGAGGAACATCTGGGGTAGCGCCAGTCTTTCTCCTTAACCACACCCACGGGAACATTTCTGCGCTCTGCGCTCCTTTACCTGTCCACGGAGCCAAATCTGTGCGCCAAGAGATCGAAACGAAGTGGAATTAAGAGGGAATAAAAGAGGAATAAATAAACTGCTGACCCTGTTGATAAAATATGGATTAAAATATCTGAAAGTAAGTAAGACATGTCTTTGCTGCTTTAAAATGGGGGTTTGGTAATGTTCCAGTTTGCGTTTCAGCTTGAGAGATGAAATCTTGGGCTGACGGTTCTTAGGTCGAAATTAACCAGCTGTAAGGAGATGAGAGGGATTATTTATGATAAAGAAAATAAAACTAATGTTTCAGAACGATCCGTCCTAAGAAAGTATGTCCCCATAACGCGGAAAGTTTGTGCGTAAAAGCGACTTCTTCAAATGTCCATTTTTTCTTTTTCCCATTGTTTCATGATTCGATAATAGTGTTTTTCAACTTTAAAATGATTAATAAAAGAAGAGTTGCATGTTTTGGTCTTATTGTGAAAGCTTTGTGTAAAATGTCTAAAAGAATGAGGACTAAGCAGTGAACAAACAGTTTGTGGGTGTGTTAAAAAAGTTGGTTTAACTCGTTTCCTTTTGTTAGCTGTTAGGTCACAGGCCTTCACATGACTGTGATTTTGGAAACAGTCTGTTTTAATCCGATTAACACAACAGTAGTTAGAGATGTTTATGTTTTCTGTAAATGTTTTAATTATGACTTATTGATATTTTTTCACCCCATTTGAAAGATTTAAATGTGAAATCTCCACTGACTCCAGACACATGGTCACTTTATTTGTTGTTATTTTTCCCTTCCAGGTTTGAGGAAAAACTGTAACCATCAAGAGAAGATTCAACATCAAAAGATATTTGATTTCTAATCAGCAGCATGGACTGGAAGACCTTCCAAGCCCTCCTCAGCGGAGTGAACAAGTACTCCACTGCGTTTGGACGGATATGGCTGTCTGTGGTGTTCGTGTTCAGGGTGATGGTGTACGTGGTGGCAGCTGAGCGTGTTTGGGGCGACGACCAGAAGGACTTTGACTGCAACACCAAGCAGCCTGGCTGTGCCAACGTCTGCTACGATCACTTCTTCCCCATTTCCCACATCCGCCTGTGGGCCCTGCAGCTCATCTTCATCTCCTGCCCTTCCTTCATGGTGGTCATGCATGTGGCGTACCGTGATGACCGAGAGCGAAAACACAGGGCCAAATTTGGAGAAGACTGCAAGCTGTATGGAAACACTGGCAAGAAACATGGCGGGCTGTGGTGGACCTATCTGATCAGCCTTTTTGCCAAAACAACCATCGAGATCGCCTTCCTCTACATCCTGCACCACATCTACGACAGCTTCTACCTGCCAAGGCTGGTCAAGTGCAAAGTGGTGCCCTGTCCCAACGTGGTGGACTGCTACATCGGTCACCCCACAGAGAAGAAGGTCTTCACCTACTTCATGGTAGGGGCCTCCGCCCTCTGCATCATCCTGAACATATGTGAGATCATCTATCTCATCGCCAAAAGAATCGCACGGATCGCAAACAAGATGAAAAGGCGCAATCGCCACCTGGCCGTACTTCATGAAGACTACACGGACGACAACTTTAACAATTACAACAGGGCCGTACCTAAAAACCATCTGGAGGACAAACCTCCGTCCTTCAGGAATGTCTGCCAGCAGCCGTACCGCGTACAGGCACTCAGGACAGATCCAAAAATACGGGCCTCTGCTCCAAACTTGTCCCTTACATGATCACGACTAAAGTCAAGATGAAAGCACAGGAGCTGGGAATGACTCGGGAAAGTGTCTTGATTGCAGGTCCACAAACTTCAAAAAGACTCAGACCTGTGAGTCAAACTGCAGAATGTCTCACAGCCTGGAAGCTGAGTCATCGGTACTGGATTCATTGTGATATTGTGTGCACATCTAAATCTCTCATGGAAACTTTTGAACTTTGGTTTCCAAGTCAACCTCCACAATATTTACAAGTCAGCTGTAAAATTTAAGTTTGATTTTTGGTATGTGGTCGTCCTTTTCGGATACAGTAAATATCTGAGTATCATTTCTACTGACATACTTAAAAAAAAAACATAAAATAAGCAGTGAAGCTGTTCTTCTGATCTGAATTTTAACATAGGGCGCAGGAATGCGTCACAAAAAGAGCAGACACACCTGGTAGAGATACTCCCCAGACCTGCTGGTATCTCCAATGGTGTGTTGGAGCAGGATAATAAAGGTTTATTTATCCATTAAGAATATATATTTTTGTAAATTCAGTTTACAGTCAAGTTATAGATTTAGTTTCCAAACTTCATTTAAAAAGTGGAAAACTAAACCTCATAAGTGTTGCTGCCTCAGAGCTCCTATATAAAGTATCTGAAAGTGTCCAGAGATTAGTTCTTCTTTTTCTCTACAGTAAAAAATCAAACACTCAAACAAGGTGCATCATTTTTTTGTTTGTAATTTATCTTCTTGCTGCCTCTCAGGTTGTGTCGCTTAGACTCCTTGTGTTTTGACATGCTTGTACACAATGTTCTCTGATCCAAGACTTCTGTTGGTTGAAATCAATCCAAAGGAATGCTGCTGTTTAATTCTGTGGGTTGTACTGAATCACTTTGGGACTAAAACTGGACAGACCTGGATGCAACTCGTGGAACCGTAACGGTCCAACCGGGACGACATGTGGAAATCTATCACTGCAGCTGTTGATATTTCTCATTTTCTATAAAATTGGAAATACATGAAAAGAATGTGTCTTTGCTGTGTTTGATTTAAGATTCATTGTTAAATACAAGAAGAGAAAATATAAGCAAACATTTTGGTTCTCCCAGAGGTGCATAATATTAATTTAAGGAGCTGGTCATGTTTTATGATGAATCCTGACATCCCCAACAGAATTAGAGCCAAACATTCAGTTCGCTGTGATCTATTATGAGCCATTTTACATTGTTTTTTAACAGCTGTTATGCACTTCGACAGGTGTTGCAAGAACCTCTTGGACTCGACAATCAGGTTTTGAAGCAGTTGAAACAACTGAACTTTTTAAGATGTCTTCTTGAAACGGAAAACTTTCCATAGAGATAATAAAGCTGCTCACAATAGTCCCTCAACATATTTTTCCCACTATGATTTCCTTACAAGCATGAGCACATAATACCATCTGCTGTTATTGGTGCCCCTATAAAGCAGGAGATATATAT